CAGATTAAGCAAAACAGGAAGTCCTGCTGCCTTGGGAGAACCCATATTAGAGGAAATGCATCACATTTCAGAGAAATGTAGAGAAAAGTTTCAGCTCTTCTATCTACAGAACCTGCACATTGGTCTCTAGTGGCATTTGGGCAACTGGAAGAAACAAGCTACTTGCATCAGGCCTTCAGAGGTAGTATTAAATGTTCTGATCATATATCCTGAGAACAATGGTGATGACATGTATGAAATGAGCCTGATGATGAACAACCATTTAATGCATGTTTTCTTCTTCCCTTCCCACCCCTACCTTTTCCAACATAACAACCTAAGGCAAGGGTTCCTGCCAGGAGGATAATGCTTCTCTTTCATCTGAAGAAGATAAGAGCTCCCATGACAGAATTTCACTGCCCTGTGTGGTCTGTCCTGATTAACTGAAAGTCTTGATTCTATTGAGTGGCATAGACTGTAATCACAGAATGTTGATATTCCCTGTTTTAGCACAGGCAAGATCAAGGAGAAACCATCAAGTGGCTGTCCATACAAATGCCCTGGATTCCCTTGTCAGTAACATTATTTTCTTCTATATTGGTAATATAACTTTATTCTTATATCCCGCCTTTCTGCCAAGACAATCAAGGCAGCTCACATAGAATAAAATTAAATTTAAATAAAACATACCCTGCATTAAAACAATAATAACAATAATAATAATAACTGACCACCACCCCTTTAAAAAGAATTAAATACAATGCTAAAATAAGAACATAAGATTAAAATGGCAAGTTTTCTAGTGGTAGCCAGAATATGTCAAGAACTCTTCTTAATGCTTCTGAGGCATTTATTCAGAGACGCTACCACAATTCACAATCTCCACATGCAGATTATAAACACAGGTAGCTAATAATACTTTCCTTAAAAACAAATTATACTTTACAATTCTCAAGTCCTTTAAAAAAATCCAAATCAAAGAAAAATTCAAATAGTTCCAATCCATCTTTCTACCACTTAGCTTCACAATATTATATCTGACTTCTATTTTCTTCTTTTCAGGCTACCATACAACCATTATTAATAGCTGCTTGGTCATGTAATTATTGTGAACACAACACTTGCTATGTTTATATTCCACTGAGTGCTCATGATCAACACCTTCTATAAAAATATTGTGGCACTTGGTGTCAGAGATAAAGGAAAGAGTAGCATATTGTTGTGATAATCAAATTCTCTTTAATACATCTTTTCCAAAATATATTTTACACACAGAAAATAGTTTGTTGTGATATTCTGGGGCCCATTTAGATTAAATGTAATAAATGCTTTGCAACAAATGCTTTGTATCCAGAACATTCATAAGAGAAAAAGCGAAGCAAATAACTAAAATCATTGGGTGTGATTAAAAATAATTAGTTGCTTATGAATTGCAGTAACAAAGGGATAATGAAGTTACATTATAATTCTAACTTTAAAAAGGATTGTTTTATTCTTCTGCATTATAATTGTATTTTGAATTATTTATGTATTTACCTTCATAGATTAAGGGTACACACATTATCTTTTTCCCTTCACTTTTTAAACTTTACTTTTTAAAAACTTCTGATTTACTTTCTTTTCGTTTGCAGTGTGGATTGTTGGTAGAACAGGTGAATACACTACTTGGCAAGGATTTTGTTGTTGTTGTTGTTGAATTCTGCCCCCATTCCACATCCTGATTTTTTATTCATGATTTTAGCTATTTGCTTCGCTTTTTCTCTTATGAATGTGGAGTTGTAAGAGAACAATGTGACTATAAAGAGTGTATTTGTGTTTTGCTGTGTGGATGATCAGCTTAGCTGTTACTGAATGCAAATTAGAAGTTTTTGGATGTTCTCAGAATTTTCTGCTCTGTTTACTCGTCATTTTTACTTCTTAGCAAATAAATTGGTTTATGTATTGTACTGCTTTTCTCCTTTCCACTGTTTCTTCTCAGTACAGCAAACACAAAAAGTGTTCTGGAAATACTTTGTTGACATGCTTTATCTGTGCAGTGTCATACTTCAGAATAACATTCATAGGACTTTTTAAAAAAGTTCCCTCCTAAGATTCTTGAGCATTCTTTGTGTTTTACTGAATAGCAAGTTCACTGAATAACTGAACTGGTTCTCTTGAAGTAGAAGAGGGTTATACTTTAAATGCAGCATTTTAAGTGTTGTCAGATTCTCAAGTTTTAAATAATATCCCTCTGTACCGTTTTAGATATCACTGCTGGAAATGTAGTGGCTCTGGCCAAACCATTATTCCATTCTCTTGTTAATCCCCCCTTTTAAAAAATGTGTGGCTGCTGATATGTGGGTTTTTAATGTTTCAAACTATATACTGTAAGTCTAGAAATTTAAGTCAAAATTTAGTAAAAAAACCTGGATCAGCTTACCCATGGGGACAATGTAAGTACTTACTTTAACTCTTACCAAAAAACCTGAACCATCCTCTTCTCCGAGTAGAGTGGTAAAAGGTATTTCCTATTAACAAGGTTGTCAAGTCATGCCAACCATAGGGGTCGGTGCTCATCTCTGTTACTAAGCTGAAGAGCCAGCATAGTCAGAGACTCTGTAATCATGTGGCCAGCATGACTGCACAGAACGTTGTTACCTTCCCACCAAAGTGGTACCTATTTATCTACTTGCATTTGCATGCTTTTGAACTGCTAGGCTGGCAGAAGCCGGGACTAGTGATGGGAGTTCACTCCATCATGCAGCACCTGGGCCTCAAACTGTCAACCTGCCAATCTTGCAATCAACAGAGTCAGCGTCTTAACCACTTGAGCCACTGCATCCCTTCATCAATTTGACATCCCTTCAAATATTTAACATGGGTCTCATGTCACCTCTTAACCTTCTCTTCCTCAGGCTAAACATATTTAGCTCCCTAAGTCTGTTCTCATAGGGCCCTGGTGGTGAACCTGTGGCATGCGTCCCAGAGAGGGCAAGCAGAGCCCTCTCTGAGGGCAAGCGTGCCATCACCCTTGTCATGGAGAGGCCAGGAAGAGCAAAGGAGAAGGAGCTCTTCATTTCTCCACCCCTCCCATCCTGGAAATGCTGGGGGAAATTCTTTCCTTTGTGGGAGGGATGAAAGAAATCAGGGCTCTGTTTCTGCACCTCTCCCACCCTGGAAATGCTGGGAGATGTCCCATTCCCCTGGAAGTCCTGCCCCCAGAGGTCCCACCCCTGATACTGGGTGACACCCGGTGCAGGAATACCACTGAGTTTGGGCACTCGGTCTTTAAAAAGTTTGCCATCACTGTCATAGGGCAGGGTTTCCAGACCCATCACCATTTTAGTTGCCCTCCTCTGGACACTCCTCACAGCGTGATGGAATCTCCTTCTTTGGAAGTTTTTAAACAGAGGCTGAATGACTGTCTGTCAGGGTGCTTTAATTGTATTTTTCTGCATGGAAGGGGGTTGGACATGATGGTCCTTGAGGTCTTTTCCAACTCTATAATTCTATGTTCCAGCTTGTTACTATTCTTCTTGAATTGTGGTACCTAGTACTAGAGACAGCATTTCAGGTGAGGTCTGACCAAAGCAGAATAGAGTGGCACTATTACTTCCCTACATTCCTATTAATGCAACTTGGAGATAATTCAACAGCCCCAGTTCCACAGAGGTGTCAAATTATACAAGCATCAAGCATAGAACGTATATGAGCTATATCCCAAAAATCCAGGGCATGCAATAAATTAAATAGACTCATACATTTTTTAAAGACACTGAACTATTCATTAATATTATGGGATAAAATATTTGTCATAACATTATGGACAGAGTTGCCATATTCAGTTCCTCAAATCCAGGCATTTAATTATTCTAATTATTCTTGGAATTGGACACAGCAATTGTATTTTTTGTTCCATTATGGACCAAATTTTGTACTATTTTATAGGAATAGCTTAAATGAGAGTGGTTAAAGTGTCAGAGTGCTTAGAGTGCTGGAAGTGGAACAGGGAAACCCAGGATAGGAGGAAGCAATAACAACCTAAGATACACAGATGGCACAATACTACTAGCAGAAACAAACAAAGACCTGGAGCAATTACTAAAGAAGGTCAAAGAAGAAAGTGCCAAGGTTGGATTAATGCTGAATATTAAATTAAAAAAGTGACCATGGAAGATCTACAAGAATTCATCTCAGACAACAAAAAATTGAAATAGTCAGAGTTCCCATACCTTGGATTATATTTTGAACAGAATGGAGACTGCGGTCAAGAGATCAGAAGAATATTAGGGTTAGGAAGGGCAGCTATAACAGAACTAGTCAAGATCCTAAACTAAGCACTAAAGTTAGAATTGTCCAAGTCATTCTATTCCCCATCATGATGTATGGATGTGAGAGTTGGACAGTGAAGAAAGCTGATATAAATAAAATAAACTCATTTGAGATGTGGTGCCAGAGAAGGGTGCTGAGGATACTGTGGATGGCCAAGACAACAAACGAGTTCTAGAAAGATCAAGCCTGAACTATCCCTGGAAGTTGGGACAACTAAATTGAGGCTGTCATACTTTGGCCACATCACAAGAAGGCATTAATCATTAGAAAATATAATAATGCTAGGTAAGGCAGAGGGCAGTAGAAAGAGAGGAGGACCACATGCCAGATGGTTAGACCCAGTCAGAGAGGCTCAGGACCTGAGCAAAAAGACTGAAGACAGGGGTTTTAGAGATATCTCATCCACAGGGTCACCATGAGTTGAGTTAACTGGAGGGCAGTTAACAACAACAAAATCAACAAGCCATGTTCAAATCTCTGTTTGGTCTTGGAATTTACCATGTGACCTTGGACCATCTCTAGCTTCCAATATACCTACTTTACAAGTTTGGGGATTAAGAAGGAGAAGAGAACTATATAAAGTTGGTGTATCTATTCCTTGTTGTTGCTGTATGCCTTCAAGTTGTTTCTGACCTATGGTAGCCCCTTATAATTGGATTTTCTGAGCCTGCGGGTATGTGACTTGCCCAAAGTCACCAAGTGAGTTTCTATAGCCAAGCAGGGATTCAAACCCTGGTCTCCAAAGTTGTAGTCCAATCCTCAAACCACTATGCCATGCTGCCTCTTGTACATTCCTAATTACATACAAATAAAAGAACAGCAACAACATTGACTCTAATGGAAAGAACAAGAATAATAGATTCATGAATACATCACAAAAAGCCTTTGAGACTCATTGCCATCTAATCCACTAAACAAAATGCTGAGAAAGTGATGACAAACAGCAGAAATCGAAGCAAAACAGCATGGAATGATTTCTTTCACAGATACAGGTTATGTATTTTATTATAACTTTAAAAGGTTTAATTTTACTGTCTTTGACCTATTCAACTTTTCATCACAGTGTACATGCTATGCAGCTCCTCTTGTTCACACTAGTTAAGGTAATGATAAATGTTTGTACTTTTTACATGTCCATTCCCTCTTAATTCACAAATTACTTCCTTCCACACTAACCATGTGCACAAATATCTGTGAGCACTCTATTGCATCTAATGAAGTGAGCTGCAGTCCATAAAAGTTTATGCCAGATGAAACTTGTAAGTCTTGAATGGTAGATACAATTAGGTACATACAGGTAGGTAGTGTTTGTATTGTTGCAAAAGATTAACATGGCTGTTTCCTTGAAAACTTTGAAAAATATTCCTTTGTGTAAGAAAAAAATATTTCAAAGCATGTACCAATCCAACATGGTAGATATCTCCCCCCATCCTTAAACCATCCTTGCACTTCTCTTTGACATACATTCTTTGTACATTCCCATTCTTGTAGCTGCTCTTTTATTTTCCTGATAATTACACCTAATAAATATACAAATTGTGCACACACAACAATATTTGCTTCAGACTTAACTTTTGACTCCCGATTGGAGGGTGGGAGAAGGACTTCAATGCAAAGTTTTGGAAAGACAGAAAACTGAGGCAGAGGCTCCTCCTTAGTTCATTTTTCACAGTTTGAATATCTTTTTCATAGACTGTGATGGGGAAATCAACATACAGTTACAACAGTTTCATTTTCCAGCAGAAGAGGATGAAAATTTCAAGTAGAGTAGTACCTCCTAAGGAGACATTTGAAAAACCATTTAGACAATTAGTTTCATATTGCATGTGTCTCTATTCTAATTGTCTTTAAAGTTTACTAGGGAGATTTAAAATCAGTAAATGTACACCTCATGAATTTCATGGGATTTTCTTAGTCAAGAAATACTCAGGGGTGGTTTTTGGCAGCTTCGTCCTCTGGAATATAGCCTACAGCACCTGGCCTTCACTGGCAGTGTCCCATCCAAGTATTAACTGAGGCTGACCATGCTTAGTTTCTGAGATCAGATGGGATCTGGTGTCTTTAGGGTATTTTAGGCTGGTGGGTAGAGGAAAAGGAAAGGACTGTATACTAATGAGGATGGGAGGGAGTAGTAGCATGACAAGGTCAGCAAGAGTGTACCTACAGGCATAGCTAAATGAGGACTAAGGATTCAGCCCCACCAATGAAATTGTCCTTCAGACTCCAAATATATAGCATTGCAGAGAGTGAGACACTACAAATCATTCACACCTAGAACTCCTTTTTTTTGCTCCACTCACATTTCCTTGCTAACTTTGCCTGCCCCTTCTCTTTGGATACCTAAACTCTATTTCTAAATGCTCAACTTTAATTTTTAAGTTCCTGTTATGCTAGTAACTTCAATGCTTATTTCTTAAACCAGACATCATTGATCTTTGTTGATTATTTATAAATGATATAAAGGTTTCAAAGTACATTTTCAATTTTCTATGCTTTGCTGCATTGGTGCACATCGCTTGGTTTTGGTTATTATTGTTTTAGATTAATTGCTGCTTAATTGCAGTTATTTTAAATGTATTGATTTAATAATTTTTTAAGGGGGGGAGGAGGGATATTGTTTGCTGTTTTAATGATTGTAATTTTATAAATTTACTGTTCACCGCCCAGATTGGTTCTCCACTAGGGCGGTATATAAATAAACTATATTATTATTATTATTATCTAAGAAAACTGAAAATAAAGTATGACTTGATCCAAAAGGTGGACTGTGCTTCTCCCCTGATAAAATATTTTACAAGAGGGAGTGATACAAGAGTGTTGGGAAAATGTAATTGGAGATGTTATTGGAATCCAAAAAAAGTAGAGCCAGTTTATTATCTCCCTGTTAAGAATTTTATTATTGTACTGAAATGTTCCATATGAAAGTACTGTTTCATAAAGCCAAAAACATTTTCAAGCTAAGCAATCCTCCAGTTCTGTAACTTACTTCTCAGAAATGTTTTATGTGATATTTTCGTTTTATTTTATTTGACCACAGTTGTTCAGCTTGTCCTCATATAAACAGTCAGCAGATTTTGATGTGATTCTTTCCATAAACCTTAATAGACACTCTCAGATGTATGTGCATAGGGCTTGTGTAGTTTTAACTGATTCTTGCAATCATTTTAACAAAATAATTGATTAAAGGAACAGTGAAGTATACGATTTCAAGAATCAAAATTCCTTGATAAATGTTGTTACATTCTGAAGCAAAGGAAATGTATTACAGAAAAAATAATGTTTTTCTTATGAAATGAGCATGATTATCCATTTTGTTAAAGCTGGCCCTTGCAAGCTCATCTTTAGTGAATTTTTAAAACTTTACTGCGCTATCAGACACACAGTTACTTGATAGGAAGACAATAAATCCTCCATGTCAGCTGGAGGAAGCACTTTCCCATCCCATCATAAAAATGAAGCTGCTTTGCTTTGCATGTAACCCCCCTTCAGGATAGCTTCTCCTGCACATTCAGCAATGTGTGACATGTCTCCAGCATCTGTTGCTGTGAGTGAGGGGACTTAGCAACAAACAGGCCAGGTAAATGCATCTGACCAGGACATATGACAGTTCACCAAAAAAATGTATGTCATTGGATAATATACCTTTGGACAATGAGAACAGATGCATATATTCAGATTAATCTACCTTTCCTGTGCACTACCTGGAGCTGACAAAAAGAAATTCAATTAATCAACACCATCATGAGCATCATCGTGATCCCTATGCTTTAAATACTAATTTTGGTTGCAAGCCTTTCACAATCCAATTAATATTGTGGAAGGCGTTAAAAATGAGGAATCGTCTTGTTTCTTTGTCGTGCTTGCATACTACATTGCACTGGTGACTGGTCACATAAATATTTTAGTGCTAGGACGGGCTATTATCGGTGCACTCTAATATTTTGCATGGGGATTACATGGCTCATGTATGGAATCCAAGTGTCACTAATACCCATCCTAACATTTCAAAGCACTGTGTGCCTATGTGCTTACTTGCTTTCCTGGATGAAATGTATTGCCCCACTGGTCTGACTGTGGAACTCCTGGCCAAAAAGAAAAAAGAAAGCCCACAAGAACAGGGAGGAGGGCTGTAGGCTGCATACACTGCAGTTCAGATGTGGGAAATGGTGGAAGCTTTCAGGAGCGATGGGGAAAAGTATCTAGAGTACACAAGGGAGCAGTATGAACATTCCAGGAGAGAAAGAGTGAGGATTAATACATGCACTGAGCAGCAATATTCTATTCTATGTGATTTTTTTTTAAGGATATAAGAGAATCTTGTGACAGGAGCAGGATTAGCCAAGGATCAGAAAAGAATCCTCCATGTAATTTCAAATCACTGGTTGAATGTACACATTTTCCTGATAACTCCCAACCCAGAGTTGAGTCTACACCCACACAACTTTTGGATGGTAGTTCTGGGCCAGATCAAGATGGCCCAGGCAAACCTTGACACCACATGCAAAAGGCAAACCTTGACACCACATACGCTAGTACCAAGTTTAAGGAAGGTACCCTAACACACATTCTCCTTCCTAATATACCTCTGCCATATCAATTTTTGATGTGATTTGGAAATAAAATGTGTCCCCTGCAGTTGTTCTAAGCCTTCCCTCCCACCTTTCTTCTTCCCTACTGCTACTGTACATTTGCATTACATTCACAGGGTAGAGCGCTCCACCTTTTGCTGCGCCTTTCAGTTTGCTTATTTCATATTTGCTCATTTGATTGTCCTCTCCTGTATGTGCTGAGTTCTGAACTATATGCAATGTTGAACTATATACAATTAGTTTGTCAACATAGAAAAAATAAATAAAAAATACCTATTAATTTTCATGGTAAAATGAAATGCACCATAAAATCATGGATTGATATAAATAACATACAAAATTGGGTAGGGGGTTTAACAGTAATTTGTTCTTCCTCTTGTTGCCTACAAAATTTCATTTCCATGTGGTCCAGCCACCCACCAAGAGATAAAACTTGCTGTTATAGATGGAAAATGGCAAAGACAATTTAAAAAGAGGTTTGGCATACAACAAATAAATAAAGCTAATAATAATAATAATAATAATAATAATAATAATAATAATAATAACAAGAACAACAACAACATTCAATCCATATGTAAAGTACAGCACAAGTGTCATACATGTGTAATTGTTCTTTCGTTTTTCCCATCATGTGCATGGGCAGTGATCTTAGCCGGTCCTCCTATTGCTTCCTGCTCTACTTCTTCAGCTTGCTCCATAGTGGAATGGCTACAGAGATGACCTCCTGTAAAAACAACATGGATGGAAAAGAATGTTGGTACTATTTTGCATGATTGAGGATAATGAAAACAGCATTCCCGTTATCACTAATGACAAATCATCTGTGGAATTTGGTAAGGCAAAGGTTTCTCCTGATGAGGGACCAGGTACCACTTACTTTTCTGCTTCTGAACCCCCATTCATGGACTCAGAGAGTTGGATATGTCATCCTCCTCTGCCTGCTGTCAGCTTCACTGTCAGTGGATTCCTGCATAGAAGAAGAGAATTGTTGCAACTTCTACATAGTAGAGGGATTTCAAAGGGTCACCTTACAAAGCTACAGAATTGTGCTGCTCATATATTTAGTAACGATTTTTGTTATTGAACCCTTCACAGAATGTTTGGCAACTTTTGTGAGTGCTTGTTCAAGAGTATTTGGTGTTACAATGGATAAGTATAATGGGTCTCTGAGTAATAACTAGGGCAGTAAT